GGGGTCACATAAGACCATTGGAAAACACATATATAATTACATTATGATTCATAACAGTAGCATAATTACAGTTATGAAGTAGCAACAAAAATAATTTTATGGTTGGGGGTCGCCACATCATGAGGAACTCTATTAAAGGGTCGCGGCATTAGGAAGGTTGAGAACCACTGGTATAGGGAGAGATTCTTACATTAAGCACACCAAAAACTCTAAATGTGAAGGATATGACTCAAGAGTGCCAAAAGAATATAAAGCCCTCCCTTCCCTAACTATATAAGAGCTGCGGGCCTGAGCAAGAAAGTGGGGTAGTGGTGTTTGATCTGGGAGTTCCTGGTCTCAGGGCACCTGAATAAAACCTCTTTCCTTTTCCATCAGCACCTGCCTCACCAGTTTGGCATTCGCTGCAGCAGGCAGCCGAACCCATGTTTTTTGGTTACAGTAAGTCATACTATATGGATCAACATCTCACTGTGGGTATATACATGGGCAATTATTAAAGCTAGTCTCATTGTAACAGTGGGTTGTAAATGCATGTTAATCTTCTATGTAAATTTAGAAACAAAGCATACAATGAAAATAAATAGTGTAGAATCCAGGATTTCAATTATTATTGTAGATGGTAGTGTGAGACTAACAACCCAAAGGGGTGAGGATAGAACTGATAAGCATTCATTACTGTAATTTATTGAATTTAAGTTGGCATAAATTCAAATTGTAGTCTTATAACTCTAGGATGGTAAGTGTAATCCACGTGGGAACCAGAGACAAAATCACCATAGAATACACGCAAAAGGAAATGAGAAAGGTATTCTAACACTTTATTAGAAAAATCAACTAGCAAACAAAAGTAGGAATGTGCATAAGGGGGGGGGGCGCGGGAGAAAGCTTTAAGAAAACAAATAGCTCCCTCCTTGTCAGAAATTACTTTAAACTTAAATGGATTACATTCTATAATCAAAAGGCAGAATGGCTAAAAACAAAAGACTCTACTCTATTCTGTCTACAGGAGACTCACTTGAGATTCAAAGGATCCAATAAGTTCAAAAAGAAAGAATGGAAAAAGATCTTCCACGCAAATGGTAACCAAAAGAGGGTGGCGATGCTAATCCAGGCAAAATAGAATTTGAATCAGAAAAGGTTGTAAGAGACAAGAAGCACATTATATTTTAACTAGAGGGCCGGTGCACAAAAATTTGTGCACTTGTGGAGGGAAGGTCCCTCAGCCCAGCCTGTGCCCTCTCGCAGTCTGGGACCCCTCAGGGGATCACCACCTGCTGGCTTAGGCCCGCACCCCGGGTGATTGGGCCTAACCTGACAATCAGACATCCCTCTGGTAGTCCAGGAGCCCTCGGGGATGTCCACTTGCCAGTGGGGAGCAGGCCTAAGCTGCTGTTGGACATCCTTAGCGCTGCTGAGGAGGCAGGAGAGGCTCCCACCACCACTGCTGTACTGGCAGCTGTCAGCCTGACTTGTGACTGAGCAGAGCTCGCCCTGTAGGAGCTCACTGACCACCAGGGAGCAGCTCCTGCATTGAGCGTCTGCCCCCTGGTGGTCAGTGTGTGTCAAAGTGATCAGTCATTCCCAGTCTTTCTGCTGTTAGGGTCAGTTTGCATATTACCCTTTTATTATATAGGATAGAGGCCTGGTGCATGGGTGGGGGCTGGCTGGTTTGCCCTTCAGGGGTGGGGTCCCCACTGGGGTGCCACTGGAATGCCTGGCCAGCCTGGGTGAGGGGCTGATGGTTGTTTGCAGCAGGTCACACCCCTTCAGGGTGGGGGTCCCCACTGGGGTGCCTGGCCAGCCCAAGTGAGGGGCTGATGGCTGTTTCAGGCTGGCCACATCACCTTTAGGGTCGGGGGGTCCCCAGTGGGTTGCCTGGCCAGTCTGGGTGAGGGGCTGAGGGCCATTTTCAGGCTGGCCAAGCCTCCCTGGCAATGGAAGCTCCCAGCCTCTCCTTTTCTTCTTTTTCTTTTTTCTTGGATTTATTTACCTTCTATAATTGAAACTTTATAGCCTGGAGTGGAGCTCAGAGCTGGCCAGGGCTTGGCTTCCTCCATCGCCAGGGGCAACCCAAGCCTCCAGCTACATGGCCACGGCCAGCTGAAAGCCGGTATCTGGGGTTTATTTACCATCTATAATTGAAACTTTGTTGCTTCAAGTGGAGCTCAGAGCCAGCAGCGCTGGGAAGCTTGGCTTCCTCCATCACTGGGGCCACCAAGCCTCCTGCTAGCTCTAGCTCTGTGGCTGCCTGCTGCCATCTTGGTTTGGTTAATTTGCATATAGTCTCTCTGACTGGCTGGTGAGCGTGGCCTAAGACATAGTGAAGGTACAGTCAATTTGTATGTTTGTCTTTTATTAGTGTAGATGTTTCACATACCGCAAGAAGATATCCTATATAATAAAATATGCAAATTGTCCCCTCGACTGAGAATTAGACTAGCAGTTTGACCGATCACTATGATGTGCGCTGAATAACTGGGGGGGAATGGAACATGAAAGGTGTCGGTGACGCGGTGGTACCAGTGGGCAGCACTGGACGTGCTGATGGCCTTGATGGGCCCTAACAGGAGCAGGACCATGGAGGGATGGTGGAGCAGGTGAGTGCGTGGTGCCAGACCCAGGGGTGTGTGAGCAGGGCCCATTGCAGATGGCAACCAGTGACAGCAGTGGGGGACAGGGCCGCCGCCTGGATTCCAGGCACTGAAGAAGCCAGGAGGGGCCCGATGACTCAGGTGGAGGGGGGGGTTGCACGGGGCTCCAGAGCCCATGTGCTGCTTAGGGCCCAGAGGTCAGCTGGGACCTACCTTTCCATGCCAGGCACTCGGCTTCCATTGCCAGGCAGGCTTAGGGATTGCACCTGTGCATGAATTTCGTGCACCAGGCCTCTAGTAATAATGATAAACATTAATGCACCAAATAACACACCTTCAAAATACATGAAGCAAAAGCTGACAAAACTATAGAGAGAAATACACATTTCTCAGCAACAGGTGTTTCTCCAGTAATAGTTGGAGACTTCAATATCCCACTCACAATAATGGATAGTACAACAGACTGAAGATAAGTAAGGAAGTAGAGGACTTCAACAACACAATCAACTAGATCTCACAGACATAGAGCACCATAGAACAGAATATACATTCACTTCAAATGCAGCTGACCACAATGGGATAAAGTTGTGAAACAAAACCTTTTGCAGCCAGATTTTCTGAAGGAACAGGTTTATTGACTTGCCATATGGTCACCAGCAAAAAGAACCAGGTCAGGCGCATGCAGTCTAAACCAGCAGCAGCAGGGAGATGAAGGCAAGCATTTCCGCCATCCTGGTTTAAGGGGGTTCTTTTACAGGTTTGAGTAGAAATATGTAAGTTATTTTGAAGGAATTCACATTGGCTATAGATAAGGGGTAGGAAGAAGGGTAAGTGGTGCTAGTTCTGGGATAGGTGCATAGATGGGAGGAAGAAGTGTTTGCTGCTTTGGGCCAGTTTGCTGGACAGTCTGAAAAGTTCCTGTGGAAGCAGGATGCAGTGAAATCTGGTGGGGAGCTAGCCCTTATTGAAAAACAGCTACACTATTAGCTCTTATATTAGTATGATCCTCAAGTACCTCTGGAAGTTCATCTAAAGTTTCAACACACATTTCATTAGTTTTTGCCTTTGGCTTCTGTTAACTGATGAACCCTCTGTCTCTCTTTCCCACCCTCCTGCTTCTTATAATTTAATTTAGGACCATGTCACCATGATTACTACATTTTTAATGACTATGATAGGCTAATTGTTACTAATCACATGATATAATTTTGCTTTCCTTCAAGTTAAATTTGTTTCTATTCATTGCACACCTTTTCAGTCTCCATAAAAAAACCGAAGGGTTGATTGGCTGTAGGTATAACTTGTTCCACAGAAAGCAAGATGAAATCAACATTATGGAGAAGCTTAAGAAGAGAACCAAACCAAAAATGGAACCAGCAATGTTTACCTTATTCCTCCAAGGAGCAACTTACTTACCCCTCATCACAAACATACTCAACTTGTGAACCAAGCTTGAAAGGTCCATTATCGTGGATTAGTTTGCCATTTTGGAGATCTTGTAGCTGTGGACAATAGACCTCTAAACGTAAAATTTCAAATGTGTTGTTTTATACTAATGTCAAAATAGATTTGAAGAAAAATAAAAATTTTACATTGTGTTATTAAACTGATGGAAATACTTTCTTATTTATTGTTATTGCATTTCTTGGGGTGACATTGGTTAATAAGGTTATATTGGTCTCAAGTGTACACATCTATGACACATATTTGGGTGTGTGCCCACCACCCAAAGTCAAGTCATCTTCCACATAAACTTGGTCCCCTTTACTCATTACTACCCCTGCAACCACCCACCCTTTCCTTTGGTAATCACCAAACTGTTTCTGTGTCTATGAGTTCCAGTTTTACGTAATCTGGTCCTTAACTTATTTTCACTGACTTATTTCACTTGCCATAATATTCTCAAGCTCCATCCATGTTGTCACTAATGGCCAAACTTAACCTATTGTATGCCATAAGCATCTGTAGACGCAAGTTGCGGACCTTCCCCCCATGCCACATGCGTCTATACAAAAGCAATGTTTTCTTTATGTGGTAGCCTTGACCAACTTAAAAATCATTTTTTCATGAGAATTTTCAGCTGAAAATATTGAAGAATACCCGAATTGTAATATATTTATGTTTATAATATTCATTGCAAATTGATTTTTTAAATTAAATTCAAAATATTGTGGCATGTGGGGATGGTTTTCGTTCTGGACGCTTGGTAGTTACTGCTTAAGAGTCACATTTACCCAGAGAATGAACGGCCAAATTAAAAATTTCCTGGAGATCTTCAAAGCCTGAAAAAATATCTTGCTACCTAAAATCTATCCATCTTGAGAAAACCATCATGGTAATAGTAGAATATGCAGTCTAAAATGTATGAAAATCTTTAGAGCAATAACAATAAAAATTTTGTGAACTTACCTGTACAACCTTCCTGGAGAGGAGGATTATATGTGCCATCAGGTTCACAAACAGTAATCATGGGTTGCTCAGGATCAATAAGCTTGTATCCTGGGTTACACACATATTCCACTGCAAACCGGTTAATAACAGGGGGGTTATACTCAACTATGGTTGACATAGTTTTGAATTTTGGTGTCTCACCACAGTCACCTGGGCATGAGAGAATAAGAACATGAAAGTAAATATTTTCTTTTCCACCAGCCACGGATTATGGCCTGGCAGCAGGCAGGTTATACGGAATAAATGGAAGGCCCTTGGTGAGATTTTAAGTGACTGTGCCAGGCTTTTACCAGATGATGAGCTGTGCTTGCTTTAAATAATATTTTATAAGCTTTGATTTCTTTGGGATTAACCTGAATATTCTTTCAACAGTAAATTGAAGAGACAGCACCAATGTTTTTGGTTTAAAAATTTATTTATAGATACGTGCCCTTCCCATTTTTTTCTGAGTTTATTCCACACTCACTTCCCCCAAGAAGACTTCTATTGTATATAGCCCTCCATCAGAGTACTCTTCCACAGTTTGAAATGGAAGAAAAGCACCAAACCAAAAACGGAACTAAGAACATTTACCTTATTTCTCTAAGGAGCACTTTAGCCCTCATTATAAACATGGTGGGAATGTGAACCAATCAGATTTCTGTTAACGTGGGCTACTTTGACACTTAGGGGTTCTGCTGGCTGTAGACATGGCTTTTCTAAAAGACTAGTGACCTGGTGCACGAAATTCATGCACATTAAAAGGGAATTAATTAGAGGAAATATTTTAATATTGCTATTTGCCCTTTCTCTATAATAGAAGTGTCAGAGATGAAAGAAAATTAGTAAAATGTATATGAAAAATCTTCTGGATGTCAGAGTCTGGTGTGCACCATGGGAACCAGAGTCAAGTCCCCGCCCATCCACATGCACCTCTAAATAGCTCAAGACCCAGCCCCAGCCAGCCCCACCCCATTGGGCTAGATACATATCCAGCTGGTCCCACCCTGCAAGCCACACGGAGCAGGGGGTGTGGCCTCAGGTCCCCAGGCCTGGTGCCAGGGCAGCATTTGCGGCCTGAGGTCTCCCATCAAGCCCTTATGGTAGGTTGCACAGCCTCAGGTCCCATGGCCTGGCGCGGTGGCAGGGGTGTGGCCTCAGGTCCCCCAGCCCAGCATAGGGGCAGGGGTCATGGCCTGAGGTCCCCTGTCAAGGCCAGCCGGGCGGGGGGTGCAGCCTCAGGTCCCCCAGCCCAGCTCTGGGGCAGGGGGAACAGCATGAGGTCCCCCGTCAAGCCATGCTGGGCAGGAGGCATGGCCTGAGGTCCCCTGTCAAGCCCCGCTGGGTGGGGGGTGCTGCCTTAGGTCCCACAGCCTGGTGCTGGGGTTTGGGGCATGATCTCAGGTCCACTGGCTTGGTGCTGGGGCAGGGGACATGGCTTGAGGTACCCGGCGCTGGCCCAGCACCACGCAGCTTCAGGTCCATGCTGATTGCTCATTAAGGCTCATTATGGCAGCTTGGCCTCCGCTGTGGGTGCAGTCAGCTTGTTACCAAGTGATGGTCAATTTGCATATTTCCTCTTTATTAGATAGGATAATGGTTCCTTGTCACCTCAGGTTCATTCATTCTCCTCTCAGGAGGCACGTTCCTAGAGGTCAGGGATGATATGCCTTTTTTTCCTACTACACTCTGTGCCACTGCGTGCTCAAGAAATGCCATGGTAAGTGGTGACTCTTAAATAAGCATCATGGATTTCATAGATCAAAATACTGGTAGGCTAAACTATTTTTAAAATATTTCTGGATTTTTTGGTAGATTTTTTTCTTCCTAGAATAGTATCATTTCTACTTTAGCCATTCCCCTTCCTTTTAATTATACATGGGCTTGAAAATCTAACAGATCTGATAGAATTAGTATGTGAAATAATGTGGTGGAGACACATCAAGTAAAGTCCTGAAGGGCTAAAAGCATGCAGAGGTCCCTCCTATAAGATTAAGGATCTAAGAAAGGAGCTAGTTCTATGCTGATCCCTGAGAAAACTTTGTTTTCTTATGCCATGGATTGGTCTCATGTCAGATTGATGTTAATCTTTAAAATATAGATATTTGTACTTCTATCAAATAACAAAAAAATATGTTACTCTTTTTAAGTTAAATATATGGGGTAACATTGGTTAACAGTATTTGTAAATTTTGGGTTTCACAATGTTGTAATAGGACATCTGTATACTGAACTGTGAAGTGTAGTCTCCTTCCCTCACCTCCCTTTATCCTCTTGCCCGTCACCCCTTCCTTCTGGTCACCATCATTGGTGAGTTGTTCTGTTTCTTTGCTTTTTTCATTTGTTGCTTTTTGGTTTCTATCCCACATGAGTGACACCGTAGCTTTTGTCCTTTCCTGGCTGACTTCCTCAGCAGAATCCTCTCAAGTTGCAAATGGCAATATTTAATCATTTTAGAGCTGAGTAGTATTCCATGGTATACTAGAGTCCCCATGCACGAAATTCATGCAAGGGTAGGCCTTCCATCCCCTATCTGCTGGCACCTGGGATTCCTTCCAGGCACTGGCATCCAGGACCTGGGCTTCTCTCTGGCTGCTGGCAGCCAGCCACCTCCCTTGGCTGGCACTACCTGTGTCCACTGCAACCCTCCCTTCCACCTTGAATGCCCCAATGGCCGGTGGCCTGGGACTCCCTTTGTGGGTTGATTGTGGGGCAATGGCGGGCCCCACCCCTGACCAATTGCATTGCACCACCTTGACTGGCCGGGCGCCAGTGCATGTCATAGCGTGGTTGTCTGATGGTTGGTCCACTGTTCAGCAGTTTGGTCAATTTTCATATTATCCTTTAATTATTATAGACGAGAGGCCCAATGCACAAAATCATGTAAGGGGCTTGTCCCTCCCAGCCTTGGCTTGGTCCAGAAGGTCATCCATTCAATCATTCTGCTGTTCAGTCTAATTAGTGTATTTGCTCTTTGTTATATAGGGTATGTGCCACTTCTTCTTTATCCAATCACCCATTGAAGGACACTTAGGTTGTTTCCATGTCTTAGCTATTGTGAATAATGCTGCAATGAACATTGCCTCCCATATATCTTGATAAGTGTTGTCAAATTTTTGGGGTAGATACCCTGAAGAAGGATTGCTGGTCCATATGTAAGCTCTATTCTTAACTTTTTGATGAACCTCCGTACTGTTTCTATAATGGCCACACCAATTTACATTCCCACCAGAAGTGTACAAGGATTCCTTTTTCTCTATATTCTCTTCAACAGTTGTTATTTCATGTCTTATTGATAATAGACATTCTAACTGGTATGAGGTGGTACCTCATTGTGGAGTTGATTTGCATTTCCCTTATAACTACTGATGTAGAGCATCTTTTTAAAAAATATATATATTTTATTGCTTTTTTACAGAGAGGAAGGGAGAGGGACAGAGAGCCAGAAACATCGATGAGAGAG